TATCCTGATTTATACATGTAACATTTTTTTTTGTCTACCGTTCAAACTTAATGGATTAGAAGCCACATCAACATATTCCTTTGATATGAATTAACGGAAGGACGAGAATGAACATTTTCATACAGTTTAGGGATTATATTGAATATTTACTGATATCATGGATCACATTGAACAAATTAAAAATTTAGGAACGACAGTACACGTAGGACCAAGTTTGGGTTCTCAAATATGAAAATGATAACCACTATCTAACTCTCATCTGAGTGTGCGGATCAGGAAGATAAGATATTTAAGACGAGATGAAGATTTGATGACATAGGGTGGGCAACATTGGAGATGCTTGTCCAATAAGGTAAAAGGACAAATGAGTAACTTGCGCTGAGCGAATTCCTTCACAGATAACCAAATTAAGACTAAGGGGATGCAAGAAATATGTTTGACTTCAACACCGCTTGTCGTGAAAGCGTCTTCTTCCCCTTTTGGCGCATTTGCTAGCTTGGGTACTAGAGTGATTAAGATCAAATGCATCCTAACTGGTATTTAGCGGCACGTTGCCAAACACAACTTCTGATAAGGATGAACAAGAATTCGAAGTTTCTATACACAGGTGATCACTAGATCGCCAGTCATTGTCTAGGCTCGCCCATGATTAAGAGAACGTGGGATAGCGTTTAGGTTTGGGTGGGTCCGGACAAAAAATTTACTAATTAGGATTTACTTCATAATTAAAAATAAAATAAAAGTTATAAATTTTGGCCGGTCCGGTTCCTTAAGTGGAATTGGGAACTAATCTCCTCGGGAACCACCTGGAACCGACCGGTTCGGTACAGTTTGGTCCAATCCGGTTCTCGGGTTGGATTGGAACCGATGCACACCCCTGCTAAGAAATACACAAGCTTTAGCAAATTAGGAAAACTATTACATAGATTTAGTGGAACCACATAATCAATGGTTATGATGGTGTGAATCTATATAAACTAAGTCTATGTACTAACCTCACAGTAAATTACATAAAATAGAAGACGTATACTATTGCAGCTATGCCACAATGCAGATTCGTTCCGCCACCACCAATGACATAACCAGTAGTGACCGTGTGGCGACCATTGACGACTGATTTGAGATTTATCTTGCATCTAATCATAGAGCAACTTTACCGATTATGTCATTGGTTTTTCTAAAGAAGACAAGGCCACTTTTCCAATTTTATATACCCGGAAATAGAAATCACTGCTACTTTTCTGTACGGGGAAATTAAAAAAAAATTATTCATTGTACGATTTTGCATGGAATCACTTCCACCCTTCGATATGATCCAAGATGTGAGCCCTTTGCCTGTTCTTCAATCCGGTCCTCAAGGTGGTTGATTTTATCCTTGGGATAATATTATTGAGCAATTGATAAAAGAAAAGTTTAGAACTGAATTGGCACAATTACGATAGGTTTAGGACTGTTATGATAAGTCTCCCATTTTGGATGTGTAATCGATTTGATGTCTTTATTTGGTGTTAGGCAATTCGTTTTAGAAACCAATAAATACATGGATATCGTGAACCCTCTAGGAACTCGACAGGAACTGGACAACTTAAGTGATACACAAGTTTGATATTCCATTTAAAAACCTTAGTAGGGTTTGGAACCGGGTTAGAGAATAGTCGAAACATATCGGAATGAATTTGAAATCAGATCAGCGGCAGATCACAAACCTGCCTTGCTGCCGTCTTCCAGAATTTCAGGGCGTTCCTTGGCTTGACCATTTCATGCTCACGCAACACGTACTATAGCACTGTCAAGTGGATGCAACCTATGACATATCCTGTTAATCAAAGCAATGCAAGCGCCAAATTTAGTGCTTAATTAGGCTAATTATAATCGCTAATGAGCTGCGTTGATGGGGGCAACGATGATGAAGGTATGGAATGAAGATCCTCGAGATCTAATTGACATAAGGGAATTCGTTTTTTAAATTTGGGTTGACAACGTGCATTTAGAAGTCCGACATAAAAGAACAGGAGAAAATCAAAGTCCGTACGCCAGCCACTTGATCTGACCATGCAATTGTGTTCAGACTTTCCAAAGTCATTCTACAGTAGTTGAAGGCAACCTCTCCCTAGAATTCAAAGGCCTACGTGTGTAGTGAATAGACGATTTCGTTTGGTTTGGTTGAGATTATGATGCTTATGATAAATGGCATATATAAAGGCAACATGAGAGCATATATTATCTTTTTTCCTTGTTAATAAATATTCATTGGGTGTTGAATGAAGACAATTCATGTGTACAGGGAGAAGTACAAAAAAAAGTTTGAACATTTTGTATTGATACAAATTCGGTTATAAATATTTTAATTTGATCAATTTAATCCTAAACATTTTCATATTGATACCGATTTAGTTTATTCGGCCAATTTAGATTGGAAACTATTAACATGGACGCTGTCTGTCCTACATGATACGGTCAATACTGATGTGGACATTTTTTTAATAATATTTTGAATTTTTTAAATAATTATTTTATATTTTTTCCTTTTTTTTCCTTCATTTTGACGAGGGTTGCCCTGTCCCTCGTCGACCACTGGGCAAGGGTTAGCAAGCCCTCGGCGGCCAAAATGAAGGAAAAAAAAGAAAAAAAATAAAAAAATTCAAAATATTATTAAAAAATGTTCGCGTCAGCGTCGACCAGACCATGTAATCGGCGTGCACGTCAATGATTTAGGACCTAATTGGACCCATTTTTACTCAGAAGCTTAAGCCAATGAGTCATGAGTCAATTAGAATATATATTAACTGCCCCATACAACATCAATTCTCCGATGTGAAACTTCTTTAACACAACTCACACTCTAACTCTAAAAACTAGCTCTAAGGGTGAAGCTTTCCCTCACATTTATAAACTTACAATTCGCCTCTTTCATAATCGATGTGGGATAACCCCAACAATCTCCTTCTCATGCATTGGGCTTAGAGTGACTATTGGGTCCAGATTTGCTGATAACCTGAGATCTGATATCAGTGTTGGGTAGTCTTGGACAGATAATCCCAACACACACAACACTAGATAATCTTTATTTTAGGGTGTGTTTGTTTGAGTGAAAGAATTTTGCGTGAATTAATTTTCTGAACTTTCACGCATTTGGTTTACTGAAAAGGATCGGTCACCGGAAAACCATATACGGGCAAAGAAAATATGCATGCTTAGGTTTCGTTTGTTTCTCGGAAAATGAATGACTTGAAAAATATTTTCCAAAAAATGATCGCTTATATTGCTTGCAAAAATGAATGAACAAACAATATTCTCATCGTCCGCGAAAATGTTTAGACATAATTAATTATTTCAAATCGATTAATTTTAGGAATTTTTTTTCAAATCGTTCACTTTCCACGAAACAAACAGAGTCTTAAAGTTAGGAGAACGAATTTCCTAACTTGAAAAGGGGAAAACATTTTTCTGAAAAATGATTTTTCAAAAAGCATCTCTCTTTCCGGTGAATTTTTTTTTCCAAAACAAACACACCCTTACATACATGAGTTGATAGGTCCTCCACACGAGTGGTTTACATAGCAGTCTTTGCTGGTTTTGATCGGCGGACTACCGACGGAATGATTCCCAAAAGATTCGGCCAATTCAATTGCAGAACGACACGGTGAAAAGAAGATCTGCTTCTAGGTGCCATTGATCAGCAAGGCGTCCTCCGACAAAATTAATCCATTCTCATTTTGCGATGAATACGATATGGATGTTTGATGTATCATCAGTCGGTACTATACGCTATATGCCACTTAAACAAATTATTTGGACCTAAGTCCTTGCATTGAATTTACTTGACATCGAACCCATTTCATATGATGGGAGTTGCCGGTGTATTGAGCGTTGCTCTCCTATTAATCATGGTACTACCCTGGAAAACGCTTCGATTGGAGATGGTGATAGCGCAAATACGTTTTGTGTTTCAGCCCGATTCAAGACGAAGAAACTTGTTCAGTAGTCACGACTTATCGGGTATCGTTCCAATCTTTTCGGAGTTGCTTTTCTCAACAAATATTGGTTTCATCTATTTGAGTTTGTTTGAAGAAGTATAGTTTTTCATTTATTTGGTTTCTAATGTCAGTGAGATTTTCTTGGGCTAGATCTCAGTGACGCATTTCGGGTCCCAAGGTTTAACTGCCTAAGGGGTTTTGGGGTATAGCTGTCTTTTACTAAGATTAAGTACATCTATCTAGTTTTAATTTAGGGCTAATTCCAGGAAAAAGTATCGGCTTTACCTTGAATGGTATTTTTGGTCTGAGGAAATGGTGCAGACTGGCCGGAGAGATTTAATCTGGAGATTTTTTTGACTTATCAATGAAGTGGAGGAAATCATGAACAACTTCACCCTTATTTTTCAAGCGGTGGCTCAGAAAAGAAGATAATAAATAGTGCTTTAAATCCAACTAGCAAGCGACGTGGATTTATTGCTGATGTGGAATAATCACGTTGGACAATTAATGATACCAAGTGATTTAAGTGAAAGTTGGTGATTTTTTATGAGGCAAAAAAAATTTGGGCCTGAATTTTCATTCAAGCTAAAGTTGGTGTTTTTTTTTTTTTTTTGGGAATTAGGCCTTTAATTTAAGAATATTGGGTGGAACTTTTAGACTTTCAAAAGTTAGAGAAATGGCATATATACTCCTAAATATGTGTTCTCGTTAGATTTTAATTGAAAACCCATGACTCGCATTGAAATTGTTAACATTCATATAACTATTGTTACATAAAAATAAAGCACACAAATAATACAACCTAATTCAGTTTCGCATAACACTAACACATGGACATAGGTTTATGATTCATCTATATCTGGATAGGATTACAAAAACTTTTAGATGATTAATCAACAACTTGGAAATAAAAGCAAAAAAGAGGACTAACCTAAATTCACATAAAGGTATTGCCGAAGTAACTTCAACTAAAAGGTAAAAGTGCTTAGCTGTTCACAAAACAAATATAGAGCACAAGGTAAATGCATACAACTAAAACAATGCAAAATTTTGACTTGTCTTTATTTACATTAGAATGTCTACAGATAAGTCAAGTTAGTGATCTACTCAAAGATAAGTCAATCGAATCGGGAACACCTAGTATTACTTCAGGCATAAGGTTGGTGATGTCTGAAAACTCTATGAATAGTTCTAACAGCTATGAAAGAAATTCCAGTTGTTCGGAGAAGTTACAAGGCAAAACTTGGTGTCATTTGCTACCCCATAACCTAATTAATAACACTATGATAAAAGTTAAACACAAAGGTTGAATCTCGGCATCCCGAGCCTTAGCTTCTTTCGAGCACAAGAATACATAAGCTACAAGAGGGCAATAAGTGAGAGGGAACCTAAAGAATAAGTTATGCTCTGTTTTTGACCAAAAAACAAATAAATTATGCTCTGTTATCAAGTCAGAGTAAGAGATGAATTTTCGGATGATTGTTTGCACCTTGGTGTTTCACAAGCAGGAGGAGGCACGCCGAACACCCAATCGAGAACGTTCAAGTACTTTGAACGGAATACTTCCCTCTCCTGTGCGTAGCAGTGCATAATAATGGCCGTCGATATGCTAAAAATGACCACATCGACTCTGGTAAGACGCCTCGACTTTGGCAAATATCCGACATCAGCCATGCATGTAAAGAAGCTCTCGATAGCCCGTGCAAGGCAGTACAGTGATATCTCGATGCGCCTGCTTTTCTTTTCAATAGCCAAGGCCAGACCAGTAGGCAACTGCCGTGGACACGGGTAAAATGTTAAAAAGGGCAGATATACATCCTTAGTAGTACATATAACGGAGTCAAGAATTTACATCTTACCTTACCAAAAAAAAAAAAAAAAATAACGGAGTCAAGAAAGAGCGTTACCGTGCCCATGGCCAACATGGGAATGTTACATTTCTTGAAAATCCTGAAAAGAATGCATGTCCACATCCTGCAATCAAATGAACTTTTTAATTGATTTTTTCATTATCTCCACCGTCAAATTAAAGTTCAAATGCATTGAAAGATTTAGATGTATCAGCAAACGTCCATCTTCAGAAAGCTTTCATTAACATATAATGGGGACAATAACGCATCTACACGCAGTTTGATCAAATACTTCCACTAAATTCTACAGACCAAGTCTGATATCAGCAATTCTAGTGTCCAGCGTGCAAAATAAAGTTGTATTAGCAAAGTTCAGTCCATCCAATTTTCTCACCCAAGATGCCACTCTTTCTAAACCACTTAAATTGACATGGGATAACAACCCTCTAATATCACAATCAATGAGTCTGGAATGGCAGTTATAGAGACCCATATGTAATTTTTGAATTTGGCAATCATTTCTAAGTTATCAATAAAGCAAACATGCTTTAGAGGAAATGATTCATAAAATAAATAAGACAATGATAACTTACTATCTTCTACTCATTATTATTCAAATATCTCCATCAATGTTGATGACACATTCCATTTCAAAAGTAACATCATTGATCATGAATACAAAGTTTTAAACCTACATCTTCTGGGTTCAAACATAGAATGTGATTGAGAATGAATACCTAAAGTTGTCGCCATATGTTGCAAGACAAACTTTGCTTTAAGAAACATTGGCCAAAAAAACAAACATACTTTGCTTAAGGAGTCATATTCTACTACCGATATTATGTTCAAATTAACCACCGAAACGTATTTGAATTAGATTCGGTTAAGAAATAGGAGGTATGTTTCTCCGATAATTCACCCTGTCAAAAATGAACTCTTAGACCCAGCGGAACTCACTGCTGATCTTGACCTGTTCAAGAATTAGACGCTGCTCTTGTTCATGGATGTATTTGTGAACTGTTTCTATATGAACATTGTTTAGAGCTAAGTTAACCATTTCAGGCAACAGAATGACACGTACTCCAACTCTTAATATGGAACTATTCGAACTCCACTATAACAGAAATTCTACCATTCATTGTGACAACAACATTCTCCCGGCTAAATATATTGTATTTTAGTCATGTATATGTTGTTTTAATCCCTATGGTATCACAGTCACAGACTACTTTTAGCACCCTTGAATCTCTATTACCCTTTATATAATAATTTTATCCTGCAAATGGCTCCATAAACACAGAAAATGTGCTTATCCCGTATTTGGTCATGGACAAACACTATAAATAATACCTTACTTTCTTATACATTAATCACAGAAGAATGCCGCCTTTTGATACAGCACCAAGTTACAAGTCCTTTGTCATACGTTTAACAGTTCTGAAATGATATATCGATTTCTTTCTTGCTGATTATAAGACCATCTAACATGGAGCACAACAGAAATTATAGGTTGAGATACATCCAATCAGAGTGTTGGAACAGCCAGAATTGAAGCATCAATTGGCAAGATAACATCCTAATATAAAATCATTAAACTCGACAGGCAATTAGCAATCTCTTTTTTAACAGAGTAGATTTTACCAGAACTACAGTAATGAAAATATTATGAAGTCATTTGAAATCATTATTTTTTATAATAAAAGAACTACAACCAGATAGCAGATACATCATCATTTCTAATATCAGTAGCTAGCTATGATTATCATCAATGAAAAGTAGTTAACATTTTTTAACAAAACCAAAAGATCAAATTCAAAGAGGCAAACATCCCAAAGGATGAATCAGTAATAGAAATAGCAATGCCCCATGAGTTCCTCCCCAAGCCAACTAACAGATGGTAGAAAAAGCGCTCCTAAATTAGTAACATCCTCTTGGATCAACTGAGAAAAGAAGGAAACAACAAAAGATATGATTACGAACCAGGCAGATGCACAATAAACTGATAGAAACAAGCTTGATCTTGCAGTTCCAAAGAGACCCTTTCCCAGTATAGTGTAAGGCCTGTATAAGGTTTGAAGAGTATAATGGTCACAATGAGCAAGCATTCGAAAAGTACTACAAGGATCCCTCACGTCTCACTAACCAGACAGCAATTATGTTGGAATGTGAAAGAGATAAAGCATGTTAGAGAGATTGTGAACTAGACAAACAGCAGGAAACTAACACATGCATATTTCATGCACGTTATATCTAAGCAACAACGCCAGTAAGATAGAAGCAGTATACTAGAATGTGATATAGATGATGAATAGGCAGAATTAGTCAAAACAATGTGGGTATTCAAATCAAAATGTTGATAATCAAGCTAAAGAGTTGAATTTTTTACCAAAAAAAGAAAAAGCTAAAGAGTTGAATTGGACACGAAACACTCACCACAAAAGGTTGAACTTAAATATGTAAGTGCAAAAATGCGAGAATTTGCCGCATAGTTGTGCAGGCAACCAGATTTTTAATAATTAGTATTTTCTGCGGAGTTACTAGAGACAGCTGGCACTTATGAAATTAACAAATCTTACCCAAGGAAAGAAAGGATAAAAGTGACTGCCATAGTGCCTTAAAAAAGTATCCACATCTACTGCTTTTCAAGGACAAATCAATGTAAATAACAACCGCCTTTAAGTTAAGACTTCTCTTTTCATTATCTCCTTCCAGAATAATAGACACTAAAAGAGATCAACTGTAGAGAAGAAAAAGGAAGCCAACCTTTTTAAAAGACCTTTCCGATGAACTATCAATGCAGGAACAAGATAAACTGGAAGATAAACTGGCAATGCTCTTACATAGGCTTCAATCAGAAAAGAAATAGCATGTGCACTGCATGACTGATTTCCATGTACCATCTGTTCAAAGATTATATCTCAAAGTCAATATAGACAAAACGGTGTTGAGGTAGAGAAAGTTCCGAACACTGCCATGCTTGAATATCTACTGAGATCCCCTGGGATCTACTCTAAGTAGCTGCCTCAAGGAACGGCTCAAGAACACTAGAAATCCAACCATTTTACACATAATGTATTATAACTAATATCATCAGGCTACAAAGTCCAAAGACAAACTCTTTGTGGAGCAACTTGGGTGGAACCTATCACATCTACCCAATAACTCTGCATAAGCTGAATAGGAAGGCAAAAATTGCTGCACTATTGCAAGCTAGGAACATGGTCCGTGGGGCAAACAAGCACTGGTTCCAAATTTATACACTGGATTATGGATGTTTTGCATTAAGAAAATTGTTCATAAACAGATGTTGGGTCTATCTCATTACTTACAATGGCATGAACCATATGCCGACACCTTCTGTGTTTCAGTATTAAGCTCCAAAAGGATAACAATTTAATAGATTAATGTTTAAGCAAAAGAGAAAACAGAGAGAGAAGAACAGCAGGATATCTTCAGTAACAAATAAAACATTCAAAGGGCATATCTGTCTATGTGGCATTTTATTCCTGTTAAATGATGTAAAGGTTTTAGATCGATGTCAGAGAGTTATTCAAGGTATCACCAACACAGTTCACACATATATAGGAATCATACCGAGCAGGGAATCTTCATCTCTGGATCAAGTTTGATATCAACTCCGGTAGATTTGTAATACTTTTCTATAGCCTGCAAATTCGTAAACGGTATGCCAGAAGCAATCTCTTTCACCCCTTGCAAAATGGCAACATCTTTTCCACCATGTTTGTTGAGGAAGGACTTATATGATGGAGGCAAACTTTCTTGCTTTAATATGTACGCAGACCTCAAGTAAGAAAAAGCACCTCCCATAAGAAAAGGACAATAATTTTAAGGTTCTGTAATTAATTGAAGCTAAAACGTGTTCAAAATGCATGCACCCAAAAAATTTAGAAACCAGTCTCGGTCCTTGACTGTCCAGAAGCCAAAATTTATGACCAACCTTTTCAACCAAACAAGCAAAATTATACGGCCAGCTCTCTCACTAAAAGTGATTAAATGATCAAAACTTTTCACGATTGGGAAACTACCACTACTCTGATGTGGAACAGAACTCACTAGATATTAGCAACCAAGGAAAGTCATTTCAGAGTTTCTTGGCCATCACCATATGGATGAGGACAGATTCGACCAATATGTAATGGAGATCCACTAGCTATTGTGGGCAAAAATATTAACGACACTTGATGGTCTACATCGGCATTATTCTAAGTGGCTCTGTGTGGATTCCGGCAACCTAACAGTGGTTCTACATTGGATCTGTTATTTGGCATCCTTACAATGTTCTCACAGAGATGAGTTAGCTCATGCTGATAGAATGATAATGGACATGTCCCATACAATCTATCGGAAAACCACGAGTAGATACAATTTCACATATTAGCCATGTTACAAGTTCAAAAGGATAGAATGCATTGCACCAAAATCCTGCCTGAGGAAAAAGGCTTCGAAGAAATTTGAAGCATTTCAACATCATCCCAATCTGCAGGTAATGTAAAGCAAACCATCGATAAGAAAAAGTAACACTCCATATTGATCTTACAGAATCTGCGACGAAGATAGACACATAAGGAATGTGTCTCCGTGCTTCCAGGTAAGAGGCCTGCAGATTTTCCCAAATCTCTTGCTTTTAATCCCGCACCGTGAAGCCAATACAGCCGCACGCATCAATATGTAGATGGCCAAGCTCGTATGCTGAGTGTTCAGTCCCGTGAGCAGCATCGAAGGCCCGGCTATCGCCCCCGCCAACAACGCCCTCCACTTCCCGGTCCTAATTACCAATAATATAATCTCACCGACGAGTAGCGCAGCAATAATCATACGGACTGATCATGAAGGAAATTCAGAGAAATTTGAATTCAGAAGTCAAAATAGGGGAGCGTGCCTGCGGTGCCCTCCCAAAGCAGCAATAATTTCGTCCACAGAGACGAACGTGCCGGCGAAGGTTCCTAGAAAAAGTCCATATCTCAAAGTCTCCTTCAAGGCTATTACAATGGCTTCTCTATTCGAAAAAAGCTCAGCTTTCCTATCAAACTCAACAGCACGAACTGTAAATAAGTTCAAATGCAGATCCTATGAAACTCACGGTCGAACAGAGCAAGTCAAATCCGAGCAAATCTTATCACCTCATGGACGCCGATAATCTCCTCCGCCTCAATCTGACGAGGACCGAGAAGAGCGCCAATCCACCCTTGAGGCCAGCTCCGATCGAGAACCCCTTCGCCGAAGCAGTGACGATCCTCCAGACCTTCTCGGAGTCCGTCAACGTAACCGAATTGAGTCCCAGCAAATCGCCGTAAGAAGAGCTAGGAGGAGGAGGATGAGGACGGGCATCCGCGCAATGCGAGCGGCTCGTCTCGTCGTCAGATCCGCCGCGACGGTCCGGGCCGCCGTCCTCGCCTGCGCCTCCGCCTCCGCCGTCGCGGGGGACGGCGACGTCGCCGGGAGGGGGAGGCGGCGGCGGCGGCGGCGGCGGCGACGGCATGGAGGCGGTGGGTGGCTCCGGCGTGTCCGCGTCTTCTCTACACCGGGTTTCGCCAAGCGCGAGAGGAGGTCGAACGGCCGGTCGCCGTCGCAGGGGGAAAGTAACAGCGACGGAGGGAATCTATGCGGAAACAGTGTAGAAGAAGAAGACGACCGTAACGAGGAAAGGCAAAACGATCGAGCCACACGTGTGCGGAAGGCAGTTCGTGCGAGTTTCCGTTGCTATATTTGCGTGTTTTTTCCCCCCCTTCGATTTTCTCTTTTTTTTTATTGCGCGCTTTTTTTTGTTTTTTTGTTTTTAATTTCGAGCGCAATAAATGTGTTTCTAGGATTTCATTTGAAAGGGGAAAGAAGATGTGGCAGAGAGTAGAGGGTGGGAGGGACAGTTTCGCATGTATTAGCTAGAAAGAGGAAAGGAATGTGATCCGGTGTGCATGGTTGGTCGATTGTCCCCTGCCAGAAATTATTTACTGAATGTACTAAAATTAAGTTTATTCTGCGGTCTCTAATAAGTGGTACCGCCGGCGGATCGAAAAAGAATCACAGCCGCCCATGTCGAGATCGGGAAAAAGTATCGGAAAAGTCAATTTAATTCTAAACATTTTAATTGTATCAATTTAATCATAAAATTTTTGGCCTCGTGCCAATTCGATACTTCCGGCTAATTTTGGGTGGATATTATTGACGTGGACGCCGATCGACTTATGTGGCATCACTGATGATGACGCGAGCAATTTTAAAATGATACTTTAATATTTTTTTGATTTTTTTAATATTTTTTGATTTTGTTTTCTTTTGCCGGTGATCGGCCCACCAGCCATGCCTAGGTGGGCTAGCCTCGTTTGGGCGAGGGTAGCCATCACCCACCACGGGCGAGGGCTAGCCCTGAGCAGGCTAGGGTGAGCCGCAACAAGGGCTCCTCCTCTCCAGATCTAGCGAGGATAGGCCTCGCCACATTTGGCCTGGGGGAGGGCGAGCCCCAACAAGGGCTCCCCTCACCAAATCTAGCGAGGCCGGCTCTCACCTAGGCTAGAGTGGCCTTGCTAGATCTGGCGAGGGGAACCCTCGCTTGGTCTGGGCTCGCCCTTGCCTAAGTAGGCCTTACTTGTGGTGAGTAACTCGCCCGGTCACGGCCAGTGCCTAGTCACCGGCAAAAGGAAGAAGAAAGAAAAAAAGAAAAGAAAGAAAGAAAATATTAAAATATTATTAAAAAATTATCTATGTCGGCACCAGTAGTGTCACATAAGTCAACCAGCATTTACGTCAATAATATTCTACCAAAATTAGATAAAAAGGACTGAATTGGCACACGATCGAAATATTTAGGACTAAATTGATACAATTAAAAAGTTTATGACTAATATAATAGGTTTATGAATTTTTTAACACTTTCCCCGCCGTTATATGTTATGCTTAAACCCGATGGTAAAAGGTTATATGGGCATGATCAACTGAATCTGCACCACTGAAGATGATGGGTCTCGTGCTGGCGATGAGACTTTCTTCGCATGTGAGTAAAACTATGGATAAAACAACAACAAAACTGAAAACTAGCTCGCAATTACTTATTTTTCTCCTTCCAACACTGTTAGAAAATCAGGGAGATGGTAAAGTCAAGGAGTGAAGCACAAGTTCTTTTAGGATAGCATGATGCATCTAAATATTTCATTAGACTCGTCTCATGAATTTATGTAAATCGCACCATTCTCGCGAGTTGGTTAAGGCTCTACCCATAAAATGGTCGAAGTGACTTGTAAAGTTCTTCTTGACGAGGCACGATTTGATGACACAACAAAACTTGATCGTGGTGCAAACCGGGAGCGCCCGGGGGGGGAAGCCCTCAAACCTACACATTACACGAGCTTCACAACCTTGCCATTTTGCTAAATATCCTCATCATACTATAGTCAATCGTTTATAAGCATAATAAATCCACAAATCTAATTGATACTGGTACGTTTATTTCGTAAAAAATAAATGATTTCGAAAAACATTTTCCCAAAAAATATCGTCTAAAAAAATGAATGAATGAAAAATATTTTTTATCGCCCACTAAAATTTTTAGTTTCTGCTTGACTTTCAAAATGTTCAGTAATGTCCACAACGTCAATCTAGTTTCAACTTTGTCCCATCATTAGTACACGCTCAAAACACTTGTTATTGAATACACATACCCTGACCGATTTCGTCGAATCCGATAGTAATGAACTGATCATGACAGATTTCGCTCATGATGATCAAACTACTAACCACCAGCTCTTCTTACTCTCTTTTCCTTAATTGACATGTATCATGAGATGTTAAAGTCATTCATTTAAGGAAAAATGACACAAACAGTCCCTGAACTTTAACCCAATATGCAATTTGGTCCTTGAACTTTTAATTTGTTCAATGTAGTCCCTGAACTTTAACATAATGTTCAATTTAGTCCCTAAACTTTTAATTTGTTCAATGTGGTCCTTGAACTTTTAATATTTGTTCAATTTAGTCCCTGAACTATTTGAAAATGTTCAATATAGTCCTTCCATTAATTCAAGTGCAGGGACTATATTGAACATTTTCATATAGTTCAGGGACTAAATTGAACACATATTAAAAATTCAGGGATCAAATTGAATAAATTAAAAGTTCAAAGACTAAACTGAATATTAGGTTAAAGTTCAGGGACTACATTGAACAAATTAAAAGTTCAGGGATCAAATTGCACATTGAGTCAAAATTCAGGAACTGTTTGTGTCATTATCCCTTCATTCAAAGAACAGCACACTGGGCGTACCCTCAATAAGACGACTCGTTCGCGAGGCACGCATGATTGAAACCGAAATCGGCGTCTCAGGTAGTCTTGAAAGTTTGAACATCAGAGCAAATCGGGAAAAAACCTCAACTACAAAGCTGTTTCATGCTCCAGTGCAAACTGTTAAATAACCCAGGACAGCAACAACACTGCCTAAGAATCATTCCAAGGAGATATAGAAGCCTCCCAATTTTTCCCCAGTACAGTTCTCTCTGGTAGGAAAACCTGTTACTTTTTTTCTTTCTGTTAGCAATTGTAACCCCCCCAATGTTTCATTCTACTGGTTTATTGCAACTCGTAGACAAAATCAACTCTTGTGCGTAGACATGAGAAGAACTTCGCGGCAGCTGACGAATTGAGGTGGGTTTTTTTCCATCTCTCTTTCCACAGTAGATAAGTGTTTTGAGGACACAATCTGTCAATTCAACTGATAAACTCCCACCATCAGGCGAGTCTAATACTGGCGATCATTGTACAGCTCGTATGCCAGGTTCATTGGACGGCCAAAGGTGTATAATTCTGTTCATTCCACTTTCAGAACAATCTTCATGAATTCGTATACAAAGTAACTAATCGCAGCGGAGGGAAGTACCTAAAGACAACACAAGCATCAGATCTTTTACAAAATACTGCACATACAAGGAACAGTTAGTAGGTTAGTAGAATCAATATGAGCATCAATGAACTCTGAGGACAAAGCTAGAACATCTCTTTCTTTTGCTCGAATTGATGAGGACATATTTGATATGACAACAACTGGCATGCATAATAGAACTCACTTACCTCCAACTTAATCATATTGACTTCCTTTCCAATACACAATAATCATCTTGCTAAGATAAGAGTAAAAGACCCTACACCTCCTTACTTCCTTCTGTCTCTCATTGACTAAATCATTTGAGATTCCACATGCATATGCTACTCTTGATGCAGACAACAGTAAATAGTAATGAGCAATACGTAAAATTTCAGGCCAGTTCAACAATTTGACATGAACCATGACATCTACTGACTCGATAACTTCGAAATTTTCAACACGCAATATTGTCTAACTATTATGCATCACATCATCAAATCGACAAAAATCGCCAATCTCAAAAATGAAAAAAAAAAGGGCAATTTAATGACAACAATACAATAAATTGACACCAATCAATCAAGTAAAGCCAAATGTAATGACGAATATTCAACTATTAGAAGCACTCGTAAAGCAAAATGGGTTGGCGGAAATAGTTATAAAATCAGGGTACAAGTCCAGTGAGCTAGATATATGTACCTGTAACAAGCTGGGAATAAGTCCAGCATAAAGAGCTGGAACTCCTCCGTTCTCGATAATCTGGGCACAAGTTGCAACAGCACTCAATCTTGTTGCCTGCACTTGCAACTGGAGCCGTCTCCTAACTACTTCAAATGGGTATGTAGCTGCTTCGGCACAGGCACCGGATATAGCACCATAAAACAGTGTCCTTATAGGCCCCAACTCCAGCTGGTCCAAAGCATTCAGCTCCTCCCCCTGTTCACTCAGATTCTGGATCCGTTGTCTCCCCTCCGGTGAATGCAGATAAGCCGATTTCAATATATCATATACTCCATAGAAAACTGCACTTGAAGGAGCCATGCTAAGTATGGAAGGTACCAAGCCCCTGTAAAGGGAAAAGAATCCTTCGTTGTGAATCATGTAACGGAAGGCACCACTCACACCGCCCAAGGCTTCTCCACCGCGTGCCACCAGCTTAGTTCTAATCTACAAGAGAAACAGGAGATCATAGGGTTCTCAAGCTTAAGAACGCTAACAGCAAAATGGGCGAGATTATTAAACACTGAAAGTTTAGTATAAAAATATAATGATTGAAAATCTCAACAGCCGACTCTACTAATGAAGAGTAAACATTAAGCATTCCTAATTGGCATGGTTCATAGTCCAAACCTAGTTAATTTAGAAGGGCTGGAGGGGAGAAACAGAGGTAAACATTGCCAATTTGCTACTGTAAACAATGAACCCCTTATCGTAAACTTTTAACAGAAAGATATCGTTACTCTTGTTAGCTGACAAGCTATTCAAGTCCACTCAAATCTAACAGTGTTGAATGAAAATGAGGATACACCAATATTATCCTAGAGAGCAGCACCACATCAATCATACTACAATCTTACAAGGACGGATACACTGTACACCATCTAGTTATTAAATGGTACATGAAGGGTAGACTAGGTTTGCTGTAAGTAATAACAATCATGGTAAGCTTCTAGCCATTTGCTTGGGTCCATTTATACTACAATCTTACAAGGACGGAAACATTGTACACCATTTAGTATATCCAACGGTACATGAAAGGTAGACTTGGTTTGCTGTGACTAATACCATCACAGTAAGCTTCTAACCATTTGCTTGGGTCCATTTGCTACGTGACATTTCATTTTCTACATTGCTCATGCATTTTGTCCACTGAGGTCACAATACGGCAGCCTCCATATATTATGATTAAGTGATGGAGTCTAACAGAATGGAGGTGCCATCAGTCGATGTCAAATCGTGTAAATCAAGCTTAAGGCTATGTTTGAAAAGCCCAGCAGAGGAGGAAAATGAGAGCTGGGTGTGGAAGAATATGGTAAAACTTGAAATTTTTGTGAAGAATTAGAATCTTCAAGTATTCTGTCATTCCTGAAAACATTAAGCTTGAACCACCTGTATATGTTTAATTCTAGATAAGTCAAATAGGTATCACCTACAATTCGATCAGCTGCAAATGTTTCAATAGATTGACATGCCTATTGTTAAAGAAATCCAAATTGTGCAGTGCAGTGAATCAAAACGAAATATTTACTCACTATTTCTAAGCTTTCATCAGCAGACAACTAAGAAGCATTAAAAACACCCTTACTGGACCTTTTAGCATTTTTTTACCTTCTTTCTGCATGATACATCAACCTATTCTTTATCTTTCTTTTCTTCTTGAGTTTTCTTATTTATCAAATTAAATAAAGATATGTAGAGAAAACATGTCCTTGAGTCTATTGTGGTAGGACATACTCCAGCATTCGTATCATAATTTCATAAATGAGCTTCTGTTTACTTTTTGACAATTTTTAGAAGGCTCTTAGTAGTTGCCAACGCGGCATATCTGGACTAGACTAGATACCGAAGATTGAGGAGTGGCCACTATCAATCTCACACATCTTTCATTCACTTCTTCCTTTTTATATCTACTTGTGCAGTAGAGTCAACAACCAAGAAAAATAATACTTCTTACACTAGAATGATCGTGCAATGCCATAAGTGTGAATACTTCTCAGGGGTAAAGTGAGTCCAAGAGCTAAAACTGAGAGAGAGAGAGAGAGAGAGAGAGCGAGAGAGAGGGACTCATACAGTGTCTAGTGGTAGGCAAAGGACAGTAGCAGTGATGCCAGCTGCAGCACCAGCAATAAACCTCTCAAAATTTGTGGTTTCATCATTTCCAGAAAATCTAAGCAATTGCTTTCTGTAGGTATCATAAGCATAAAAGTTGATAGCCTTAAATGGAGCTGTCCGGAGAATGTTGACTAAATTTCCCTTCCAAAAGCCATGTAAACCTTGTGAAACTGCAATTGTCCTGACGAGCTCAACAATATTTTTCTGTTCTCCACGAACTATATACTCCAGCTTTAGTCTCTCAAGTGGAGCAACAAAAGTTCTGACAAATCAACATTCATCACAAACAGCCACAGTGGAGAAGTTAGCATGAAAGAATAAAAGACATCGGAATTCACCCCCTTACACTATTATTTATTATACAGTATTCAGAATCTTCCATATAGAACAAAAGATCTGCAGCTATATCTAAACCATCTCTCTTTAATCATAACAAATTGCTGGCCTACGTGATCACAACATTGTTATCAGTGGGCAAAAGGTATCGCTTTTGCAAAAGTTAGTCTCTGCCTAAACATGCATATGCTTATAACCATAACGACATCTTCCTCAATGCATTACTTCACATAACATGTTTCGATCGAGTTGGCACAAGAAAATTAATTAGCTGTAAGACGAAAGAGGTCGAGTTTCAAATTGTTTTAAGTGTTACTTAACAGTGGTAGTTCCACATCAAGATTCAAACTTCATAGCAGGACCAATGGCAATTGCCAATAACGTGTGAAAAGCTAAAATGGTTTCTAGTAATGATGCTAGGTAACCTATAACAGTGGACCAAATTGGTTGACAAACTTGAGTGACAAATTGTAAGCCGACATTCAAGTAACAGTGCCGTGTTCAATGCCCCATAAGAGTCGGCCCGTCACTTAGTTCGTAAAGTAGTCAAAGTATACCTACATAAATTTGTTGAACAGGGGCAGATGCCTCCTAAAATCAAGATTTGGTTCTCCGCATCATTCACACGGGGGACAGGTATCATCATCCATCACAAGGATTTTCCATTGTTTTGGGTAGAACACAAGAAAGATCGATGCATACAGTGGGTTCAGCCCAAATTAGAATAAACAAGGAAAAGCATTAGTTGATGGACATCTCATCTCGTATGTGTTTAACCAATGTTCTTGCTAATGATAGGCATGTATTCCCCATTTACCGACATAAACTCACATAACGAAAGTGGCACTTCCTTTATTCGAGAACAAAAGATAGAATCTAGGAAAAGAAATGACTGACCTCGAAACCATGGCCGCAATGGCGCCAGCCCACAAGTGCTTAGTGGTGTTCACGGCAGCTCTGCCTCTCCCTCGCACCGTCACCTTCCTCCTCTTCCTCTCGGCAGAAACGACACTCTCCGACGCCTCACGCTCCTTCGGGCCCGAGCTCTCGCCTCCATCTTTCTGCGGCAGGGCCACCCGAGGCTCCTCCACAATCCCATCGCCGCCCCTCAAGCTCACCGACAAGAACCCGCGGCGACAAGCCCTCGTCTCCCGCCGGCACGCCCGAACGCTACAATTACTGCGCAACGAAATCAAACGGACGAAGGAGGAAGGCAGATCCGGGTCAAGAAACAACCCCCCGACGACCGAGACAGCCCGGCCCGAATCCGAGTCCCCATCCGACGGGCCTCGAGACCCATCTTCATCCGGCAGTATCCGCGCGTTTCGCAAGAACAGTTGCGGGCTCGGCATTGCGGGCGAAGGAAAAACGGAACAAGAATCGAAAGATGCAAAGGGAGGTGCCTCGTCGAGCGAGCCGGCTCAAGAAGAACGGAGAAATTGGAGCGCGGACGTCATGGGTCGGCGGCGGAGCAGCGAAGGGACGAGATGTGGGGTCGAAGGAGCGTCGGGAGAGGGAAATGGCGGGTTCGGCCTCGCTTCCATCGCCGCGCCGCGCATAGGAAGGAGCTCCGCGATCGACGGGGCTTCTGTTTCTCCTGATAATTTTGTTCTTGGTTTTGCTTCTTCCTGTTTATGGTATGGGAATGTTTTGGATTTTGTAGGGATGCCCTTGTATTTCGCGTGGTTTCCAGGAAGTGGCCAGTAAAAAAAGCAATTGCTGCATTTGAAGTCACATACTTCTTCTTCCTCGTTGCTCAACATTCAATCCTTCAAAAAATCATTGCGTTTTTGGTCGTTTGGATTCAAATTGCGATGAGATAGAATAAGGTGGGATTAGAAATCCTCCTAATGTTCTCCGATTATGAAATATCCATCATATAATTTGGTATGATCTGATATAAGATTGAAAATTTCTGAAAATTTTCCGTCATGTCCAGTTGCTTCAGCCTCCAATCGCCACTAGATGGCCCGTAGTGCCTCGAGCCCCGAGCTTGCCGTTCCATTTGTCACCCGGCTTCCTCATGGTCGCCATTATTTGTGCAAACCGCGCGAGGATCGCGACCTTGTGTCTATGTTGCAGGTCAAATTCTGATAGATTTGGGAGTGGAGGTGCTTATAAGGCAAAAAAAAAAAAAACAAAAAGGGACAAATGTTTTCACCATGCTGGAGCAAATATTGTTCATTTTATGTCCAAAGTCAAATATTGGAATTATCCGTTTTGATTACACATCAAGGTGAAATTGTCAGGGCCCATATTAGATTGCATTAAAATGTCAAAATATCCATCCAAATTTATAAACGAATCCACCCAATATATCATTTTCCATCAATTTACCGCAGAGCTTTAATCCGGGCAATTAATTAGCTAACAATCTTCGAGTCCACTTCATATCTAGATCCAAGAACATTAGACCGAAGGCTTCCACAAGGAATCCGGATTTGCCCAATAAGTCCACTATGCATGCACAACATTCGATTTTGGACACGATTCGAAGATTAGACTCCTTTTCATCTTCAATCGTCGGAACATGATTGATTGGCCGACGATGATGATCGGCGACAGGCGACAACGATTGCGTGATGATCGGTAGTGATGATGATTGGCTGTTGTGGTAGTCCTTGTTTGATGGCTGCCGAAGCCATATCCAGATGCATCACTTTATCATTCCATGGTTGGAGGATAGTGGGATTGTTGAGTTATTTTTTAATATTTTTTTATCCAATTCAACTTCATAGCACCCCTATCTCGGATTTTCTATTCGGAATTTTATAAGGATATATTCGTATTTGTACGATTTGGAGCGGGTCGTCAAACACCAAATATGATAACAAATTATCCTATTTAAGTCCATGCAATCGGTCCATTTTTTACTCAGAAACCAAAGCGGACCGAACCGATCATGAAAACAGGTCCAATACTTTGTTCCTGTGGAAATCTGTCCGGTTTTCGGTTCCACACCGGTTCTTGGTCAAGAATCACCTGAGAACCGGACCGAACTAGGAACCAGTTCAAGCAAACCCTAATTTCTTCTTTTCTAGCTGCTGCCTTTTCATTCTCTCTCTTTTACGAGTTCTAGTCCATCCCTCTCCTCTCCAGTCCACATCTTTCTCGCTTGTGAGTCGCGACTCCCTCTCGCTCGACGCTCGCTCTCTCATTTGTTGCTCTCTCTATCTCTCTCGTTCGCCTGCCACACCAGTTGATTTTCATCACGAACAACAATCATAGAGAGGTAAATAGCCTAAGATTTTTGTCTCTCTCAATCGTTGATTTTTGCTCGATAAAACGAAGGCGATGTAGGCTTTAGTTGCTGCTGTTGCTGGTTTAGTTGTTGATCTGCTTATGTGGAATGAACTAGAGGGGTTAGGGTGCTAGTTGCTGCAACCGCGGCTTTGGTTCATTAAGAGAGCCGGTTACAATCTCCTCTTGGTTGCGGCCAATTTGCCGTTCCTTCGAGTTCTTCTTGGTGTAGTTTGTATAGATGAACTATATACCGTATGTTTGGCCTAAATAATGGGAAATGTTAAACATTTGGGTGTAAAAAAATGAACCGACAAAAAAAAAAGAACAGGTTTCGAATAGACTCAGGAACTGGACTGGAAAAACAAGGTAGGTTACAGATAGGTTTCCAAGGTCTACCTGAAAGTTTTCAGGTTCCAAAATCTAGAAACTAATTCTAATAGGGTAGGTTCCAGACCACCCTGGAAATGATCACCCCTAGTCCTATTCGGACTCAAATATGGACTATCAAATGTAGCCTTAGTTCATATTCAAAATGAATTCTCAAACATCATCTTCTTTGACACTCGCAACAGATTTTGCCTCATCTCCAATTCCACCACAAAATAGCTGTCGTCCCATAACTCCTGGTTCAGGTTTCATTCAACTGAACAAGACTCGATCTTGTACTATTGTTTAGGACGAAAAACATTCAGCATACCTTTATACATTAATGTTGTTCCTGATATCGACATCTGCAAATTTGAGCCATCCAAAGTACTAGGTGGCCTTTTGGCTTGGTTAAGCTAAATTTAGTGTAGAATCTCCCCATAAACAATAAAAAATAAGATGAGATCCAAAAATCATTCAACACAAAGAGTATAGTCACACAAATTAAGTATCGATTACGGGACAAATGGTGGCCACTTGATACTTTGTAGGGCTCAAATTTGTAGATGTCAATATCAGGAACAACAATAGTGTATAAGGGTTCGCTGAATGTTTTTCGTCGTAAATAATACAAGATCAACTCTCGATAAATTGAATGAAACCCAAACCCGAAAGCTATGGGATGATGGCAATTTTGTGGTGGAATTAGAGATGAGGCGAAATCTGTTGTGAGCGACGAAGAAGACAATGTCGGACAATTCATTTTGAATATAAACAAGAGGATATGATCTTCGGATGGATTGAATATTGAAGAATGAGGAAGAAGTTGTAACTTCAAATGCAAGTTATTACTTTTGTGATGGCAATTGGTCATACTTTGACTTGTTGACAAGTTTATATAATTATTGAATTCACCCCTCTCTATCTACCTTGAAGCGCCAATTACTTGGAAGCGCCGGAATTTTTCGAACCTTTCCTATTTTTAAATATTTTTCTTAAATTTTGCACGTTCAATTAGTAAAGTATACGATAATAAAATAAATCAGATAATTAACAACCATTTCGAATGATTGAGAAATCCTATATAAATACCTATTTATTTTGTCATATCTTATTTTGTTTATCCTTACAAAATACATTGTAACTTTTTCCTAATTAAAATTTTGTTTGGAGCAACTTTTATCATTTACTTTGCTCATATCTTGTGATGCACACACCTTCACTTTTCATTTTTAATATAAAACTCCTCAAATTTGATAGTTAAATCCACATATAATTATTCCATAATTATTTTTATGTTAAATAACACTTTAGATATTAGTGGGAAAGTCAAAAAGTTACTTTTGACTTTTAATAAATCCAAATAAAACAATAGCATATCAACCCGGTGCGATTAAGGGTTAGTGGTTAGGGTTGTGCAACTGGATCGATTGTTTCCGAAAATCAGACTGTACCATCTTGAAAACTGATCTAGTTTTAAGTTCTCGTTAGAAAGTTCAATTCCCAGTTCCAAAGTTTTTGAACTGGTAGGAACTAGTCTGGTTCCCGATTCAAAATGAAGGACCACCTGAGAACCGGTTTCATAAAGTCTAAAAACCCTAATTTCTTTTATATTTCTTTTTTTTTCTCTATTCTCTCCGTCCTCACTCAGACATTTTATGATTCTCTCTCTCTTTTGCTTGCGATTCACCCTTTCCCTCGCTCGCTCGCTCATGGCTCACCCTCGTTCGTTTGAACCTCGCAACCCTTGCTTGTTCCTAGCTCATCTTTGATTGCTCACCCTCGTTCATTTTTTACTGTAAACCATTTTTTTACTCATATTATTTTGTTGTGAAAAATGAAACCATAAAAAGGAACAAAATAAAAGCAGGTTCTTGGGTAGTCCTTGGAATCACGCCGGAAAAACAAAGTAGGCTTTTGAGGTCGGTTCCAAGGAAAATATGATAAGTTTCAAGTTCCAAAAACTGCAAACCAATTATGATAGGGTAGGTTCCAAACCTAGAATCTACCTACCTTGAAACCAATCACTCTTATTCGTGATGGCCATTTTCCTTTTAATATATTATATATATGTTATTGATATGAAGTGAGGGCAAAAAGGCATTTGATACAGAATTGAAGAAAATTTGCACTTTAGCCCCTTGGAAAGTGTTGGAATATTTATATATTATAATGCTCGTGACAATGCAACGCAAAAAGTTAACGAAGTTAATAAATGTAACAAAAAGTTAACGATGTTATTAAGGAGAGGGAGTTCAAATATTGCATAACCGCTCAACAAGAAGCAAACCTACAGCTAAAACAACAGTCAAGCAACAGAGTCACTAGCTGCAGAAGTACGTCGAGTGTATACTCCTTTGCGTTCCAAGAGGTACACATAATTAACTTCATCAGGAGCTTGGTGGAACGGTTCAAAACATTGTTTTGCAGGCCCGTCCACACATTTGTTTTGTTATCTATATATGAGGCAGATTCGATAGTGCTGCATCTCTTCCAGTTGTCCTGCATTCATCTACTGTTTTATACGTGAAGGCTTGCACCACATGCAATCTATCAGATTAAATTTCGAGGAGATGGATATCGGTGAGTAAAGCCAGCTTAATCCCATCCCTCAGAGCCCGCATTTGAGCCTCAGCTGTGCAGGTGGTGCCAAATTTACTAACAAACTTTAACCCAGAGTCCTGAGCTATCTCGAATCACCTACACCCCCTGCAATGCCAAGCTCCCTACTGATTGAGACATCAGTTTCAAGTTTAAATTAGCCCAGTGGAGGAGGAAGCCATTTAACAGGAATTGCAATAGACGTCTGGCATTTAGTATTGCTGCCCTAATGGCAAGTAATTCAGCACTTTTCGCCTTGGCATTTAAGGCCAGGTTGCCCATCTATTTCAAGTTTCGAAAACCAGAGTGACCATAAGGAATAGAATAGAATATGCCAAGGGACTGATGAATTACTGTAACCAGACCAAGATCAAAAATCAGTTGGAATCCGGTCCTTTAACGGAGGATGGAATGAAGAACTAGTGAATAAGGAATTCCCTGATCCTGCCACATTTGATGTGCAGCTGAGCAGCTTCTCAATATATGTTCAGGACTGTCCTCTTCCCTGTTACAATGAGTACACATGACGTTCATGCTCATACCTCTCACCGCTAGCACCATTTTCGCAGCAATGCGATCATTAACAACTAGCCAAATGAAATGCTGAATCCGTGGTGTGGTTTCAGCCTTTCAGATCTACACAAAACATTCCCTATATCGTGTGCCACGACTTTGTCCTGTTGCAAGTGCAGATGCAGATTTCTTGCAAAATGACCCATCATCCGAGATATTCCAGTTACCTGGTCTTCTCCCTCGATATCCATCAAATAGTAATATTAGAAATCATCTCTTAGAAAGCTTCGGGAATATCAAAGGAAACCTGGGAAAAGTCCCAACTCTCATCCTCACGAAGGGAGTCACCAATCAAGAGATCTTCATTTCTTGTTAGCGATCCTTCAATACAATGTCTTAAGGTTCTCAAGCCACATCAGTTTTTATCCTAGAAACCAACATGAGATCAAGTGATCAAATGTCTTATTTCCTTTTGAGAAACCTTGTCCCCTTCCCACCAGTGCCCTTCCGACTAGCACAGGTCTTTCCATCAATGGGTGTCCTCTCAGAATAACTGTGGAAGTATTTTCCCCTTACCAGAGCTGAACAATTCACTTTCAAGTCTTTGTGGATCGTCCATCTGAGTTTAGCTAGAAGCTCATATCACGCAATCTCATTTGACAGAGACCTAATCCAACATATTTTCCTTTCTCTGAGCCACTTTGTCACAATTAACCAAATGCATTCTTTCTCCTCCAGTCAACTTGCTTTTCGTCCTTTTAATGGTATCCTTGGAGCCTTTGGCTAGTATCCCTCTAATATTAAGATCGAAACAAGATACTTCCTTTGTTTCCCTAGATGCCTTAAAGCCCAGTTTACTAGCAAAAGAGATTCTCTTGTCGTCATCCATATTAGCAGAGAAAGAGTGCGAACAGTATATTCACACACCTGATCGTGATGAGCAAAAGCAGGGCCCTCTCTAGAGGCTCTCACAAGTTCTCAATGTCCTTCAACACACTCCTGTTCAACGAGTAAAGACAGAATTTCCCTGCAAAGGGGGAAATAGGATCATCTTGTTTAGTCCCACGGCTTGGAGCAAAAGGTTCCATCCAAACCCGGCTTAGGACAATGGATGTGTGAGAAGTGGTGAAGCAATTCATAACAAGGTGGATAACCATCAATGGTATAACGCAACTGCTCATTTCATTTCATACTATGCTAAAAAAAAAAGAAAATCTCTAACCTACTTTTAGAAGGAAAGTATATGCATACATAGGCAAACATGCATGTGTTCCGAGTATTGGGCTGGGTAGCCCATGCATGATGAACTGATCAAAGCAAATCCACAGAATGCTAACGGGTGCCTTGATTTTAATTGAGTTGAAACACACCACATGGCTCGCCTTTGAAGAAATAATTGGGCCGTAAGCGCCAGTTCGAGCCCACTGGCAAATCCCCTTCTTCGGCAAAACCATTTCATCAAATTATTTTAGTTAAAAAAAAGTTATTTCAGCTCCTAAGAAAGTATATCAATTGACCGACCTCTTGATTTAAAAAAAAAAATTTTCTAGTGAGTATACATATAAATGCATCCTTGGAAGATCAGTGACATTCTTCATGAGCTCCATTTGATGGAATTGAGGAATGGTGCCTCAGATTAAGTATACGCTTGTCTGCATGCTACTTGTTTTATGTCAGTTGTTTTGTCTCCGGACGATGAATTAGGTTCATAAAGAAACTAGTTGTCACTATACTCTGCGCAGGTGCTTCTCTTGTTTGGCGTCAATCCTTCCATTCATTGGAACCTACCCTTGAAAGTGGTCATCATCCAGTCGTCTCCTTTAGGTTAATGGGTTGAAAAGGTTATGGTGCATATCCCAGTGTTGTAAAGACGATTCGCAACAATTGCCAAAAAAAAGAAACTGACCATATCATTAACCATTTGAAAAGATTTTCTTTACCAAACAAGGGTTTTTCTTACATCCCCTTGTTTGGTAAACTATTAGATTTAACAATTGGGCACAAACATATCCTATCCAATAAGTTGTGTTTCGTAAACCTAAATTGGGATTGGATAAATAATGAAAGTTTATATAAATAAGCTTACGAAAAGAAAAACTTAAATTAATCTACTACGGAGAGAGTGATCACTGCCCACGGGGGTTGCCATTTTCGACAACGATGATGACAATTGGAGTGGTCGTTGCCTCTATCATAAAGGTAGCTTGAGACCACCGTGATAGCGGAGAGACTTAGAGAGAGAGAAGCAACCACCATCTTGTGATGGTCTTATATTTGTTATCACGGCACGGTGGTTGTCGACAGCGAGTCGCCGGACAAAACGAATATCTATTGTTCTTGTTTCATAAAATTCATTTGCTCGTTTCTTTAAAAGAAAAATTGATATCCAATCTAGGCCGTATACAATCATCCTGCCCCAGAGTCAGAACAGACCATTTGGATTGTTATCTGGATATGTTTGGATTTGTCCATTTAAGGTGTGTCGTCAAATGCCGATTAGGATAGTCTTCATCCTCTCCGGCTTCTTATCCGCGTCACCAAACGCGCCCTTAAAGCATAGTGGTCGTCACCCATCCATTTATCCATCACCAATTCACCATTTCAATCGGGTCCATTCAGGACTCATTTGCCTAGGACAAAGGGAGAGGAAACAGAGTAAAATGTCCTTGTAAATATATATCATACCATATCATATCGTACTAGCTATCATTACACTCATCTGCGTTAGTCCCACTTCCCTTCTTAGCTCTCTCAATCTCTCTGTTCCTCTCTCAAAGCGACAATCACAGCACAAACTTCTTGGGTTACGTATATATTCATCACCCGGATTAACCTAGTACTAATTAATAAACAAAGCTTAGGGTCATACATATGTCTCAAACTATCACTATTAGCATAGGAGGCTACAACGGCCCTTGAAGAGTGTCCGATGGCTCTGGTCTGGCGGGTGCAAGAACTTGCAGTTGGGACATGTCGGAGACGACTGGCATAGCATCACCAGCATGTGACACCTCATGCAAACTGTCGTGACCATATGATCCACCTCCTCCTCCTCCTCTTCTCCTTTAATTTCGTCTCTCGTCTCTAATCCCAACCACGATCGCACCTTTTTCACTTGTCGTCCTGATTTTTTCTCTGAGAGATTGCTCGAGTGACGCATTGTCCTTGAGAATAGGTCCTCATGATCGTCTTGCTGGTCGTGGTTATAAGGGAGGTTGAGCTCGAGGTCTAAGCTCACGTGATGACCAGGACGAGCTGGGTGACCTGTGTCCGAGGTTTCTCTAGGATCTTTTGACGTTCTCTTGTGTGTTCTTGTGTTGTAGAAGTGTATCTGTCCGGACTGCAAAAGAATGGAGGCACGTAAATTGCTCAATTAGTGTCTGCAGTTTCCTACAGCAGTCTGTTGCTCTGCCCTATTCTCGGTGATTAAATGCGTGCAGATAAGACGTGCTTTTCACATAAAAATCGACCATTAGGCAAACCATACAATGGGTAGAATAAGAGGAATTTCAAATTAAAGAAACACTGAACTTCTTTAAATTTTCTACGAGGATGAAGAATGAATATCCATCAATAGTTTAGTGTAATATCGAACTTCTTTTGGCCATCAATGATATTCGCTAGATTGCAAAAACAAACGGAGGATATGACGTTGTACTCGTTCTCTCTTGGTAAAAGTTGGACCAGGATGGAGAAGATCATCACTCAAATCACGATGGAATATAGAAGATCCAAGTCAAGCGTCGAGATTTTATGCATGTTGCACAGATTAGCGCGGAATAGATAGGATCTACATCCATAATGACTTTTCTTTCGTTTTTTGAAAGCATCATTGCTCAGAAAGGAAGCAAAAATCCTTGTCAAAAACTTTCTATGAATTGATTTTGTTCCATGGATCAAAAATATGTCTCCACGATTTTTCGAGACCAATGAATCCGCACGATCTTACACAAGTGTTAACATGAGACTAATATACCTGAATATCAAGGTACCGTTGCCACTCAGAAGGCAAGGGACTTTCGAGGTGGAGCTCGATGTCGAGCACTGTCCTCGTGGCTTCTGCTGTCTCCGACGATGACGGCGATCGTTTCCAGAAGGGTTCTTCAGCTCCTTCTTGCCGTCGCCCTCGCCGTGGTTGTTGCGTCTCTTCCCACTTTCTCTTTTTGGATAGACTCTCCAAACCTTGAATGATCGTCCCCCTCCGGTTCGGTGAATGGGGTGTCGAATTTTGAAAAGAAACCATTATTGCTTCACCACGAAAGACTCTCTCTCTCGATCTCGAGTGTGAGTGTGTGAGAGAGAGATTAGAAGGTAGAGTGAAAATGTTTTAGAGGAGGGTTACACGAGAGGGAGCGACTTCTCCTTCGATCAGCAGTTGGAAGTGTGAAGGGCTCAGCTTTAAGAGAGAGCCCACATCTGCATGACGTTTGACGTGTGTTCCAAGTTGGCTCTTCTCATCAATTTCTTCAACTCTAAGCTGCTCTCTCTCTCTCTCTCAGCTGTCTAGCTTCCAATGTCTAGCTAGTGACTGAGGATGTAAATTAATTGCTCATTCAATCCCTGCTTAACTAACATGTGAGGCATTGGAGTACTTGTTGCATCCACCGAAATCTAATAGATCAAAGTCAATCACACTTAAAAATCTGCGGGATCTATACCAATCCCACTAAATCATACAAGTTCCTGTGCAGTTTATGCCCCGTCTAAATCTAAATGATATTATTTCTTAAGGCATCGACATGAGAGATATGATTTTATTAACGAGAGCTCTTGGCACTAAGGCTGTGCAACCGGACCGATTCTACATGGAAATCTGACTGTCTGCTCTTGGAAAGAGAATCTAGTTTCCGGTTCCAAAAGTTTGGAACCAGTACTGTGTGAGTAGGTTCTAGGTTCTAGGTGTTGAACCCACCCTCTCATTTGGGAACCGGTAAAAACCTATTTTATGAAGTTGGAAGAAGATGATTATTTTTCTTAAATGAACTTAACTTCTCTAGTACTTTATATTTTTGTTTGTTTTGCATCGATATTTTACTTTGAGCCATTTTGTTGCTCACACAATTGTACAATAATTGCTATTTGTTTTGGTTTTTTTTTTTAAATGAAGCAAACGAAAAAAAAACAATGTCGGGTAGACCCTAGAACCGGATCAGACAAACAAGGTAGTTTTCAGGCTGTAAAAACAATGAAATAATTCTAACATTGTAGGTTGTAGGTTTTTGGTTTGGAACCTACCAACCTTAGAATCGATCACCCCCACTTGGCACACAAGTTAAGCAATAATTATGCGTGTTATGAGAAAAATCGGTGCATAGAAGATTGTAATATATCTCTTTCAATTATCTAACAAGTGTCTCAAGAGCACTTTTGAACAAATATAAAGAAAATGTACATGCGACATTGGTTGTAACTGGTTCAAGGGTTGACTCAATCTGATCACTAGAGACCATTCCCCGTTACCTATAAAACATACTTAGGTTGCCTATTTATTTTGAATTTCAATAATCGAATTCTTTCCTTTAACATATGAGAATTTCCATTTTACAATTAGGGAAAATGGCATAAACAGTCTCTGAACTTTGATCAAATGTGCAAAGTAGTTCCTAAACTTTTAATTTGTTCAATATAATCTCTGAACTTTAACCCAATGTGCAACTTAAACTTTTAATTTATTCAATGTAGTCACTGGACTTTTGGTACATGTTCAATTTAGTCTCTAAACTATATAAAAATGTTCAATGTAGTCCCTAAACTTGAATTAATGGAAGGACTACATTGAACATTTTCGTATCATTCAAGGACTAAATTGAACATGTATCAAAAGTTCATGAACCACATTGAACAAAATAAAAGTTCAAAGGCCAAATTGAACATTAAGCTATAGTTTAGGAACTATATTAAACAAATTAAAAGTTCAGAGACTAAATTACACATTGGGCCAAAGTTCAAGAACTGTTTATGTCATTATCCCTTATTATTATTTGTGAAAGACATTTTACACTAACAGTGTAACTTATTTTAGATTCATGTTTTATATCTAATGGCCAAGCTCTCCCAACTTAAATTTTGTACCGACTAATATGTAAGGATTGAGTAGTACCTATGATTCATGTTGCAGTTAACAATATTGAACGTTTTGACCAGGCGAAGCTAGCTGTTATAGTTCAGAAAAAATTTTCTTCTAGACCCACTTGCATCAAGCATTTCCTGGCCTTGGCTCTCTTGGATCTAACTTGAAATGATATTTCAATTATGCACCCATTATATGACATAGTCGAAGTTCATGGTCCCCGGCCTGTCCAATTTCTTCAGGCCGAGGTCAAATGTAGGACGATTATGCATTCAAAGTAACTCATCTGACCTCGAGGGCGCCACAAACACCCAAATCCCAATGCATAAGATCTCCTTTGCTTACGTGTTAATTCCCTTGGTACAGATCTCTGAAAAATGTTAAAAAAGAATGTCTCGAGCACCTTCTAAAACTTGTTAAAAATGCTTTGAAGGTACTATCATGGATTTGTATCAGATCTATCGTCGGTGTAAAAAGAATTTCATACACATTAACCGTCGACATATTTACGTAAAAATAATTATGTAACCGAATTAATTCACGTGTCAATCGTCTAATGATGAACATGCAAAAAGTTTCTTACATGTATTGATAATTCTTTATTTATTTGAGGCGGGAAATTTCTCCTAAATTTTACTAGTACAATTTCCAAAGTGTTTTTGGAGTACAAGCTAGGGCTCTAGGGACGAGCCTCCGAAAACAAGATACAAAATCAATCTTGTTAACAATTGTCTTTGGAGCACTCGATAAGATAATTGCTATTACTAAAAAATTAATATTGTATGAATCCTTATCTTCAAGTTGAAGGCAATCCTGGAAAGATTGACCAACTTTAATACGTGAAAATCAGTTCGAAATACAAAACAATTGTCACACAAAGAAAAGCTAGATCGGAATGATGCAAGCTTGCGAAATTGAAAGTTACACATTAGAGTGTACTTACATGCAATAACTTGGAAAAACTACATTTTCAAAACACATCAATAAATCTTTAACAATTGTCTAAGTTCACATTTTCACATTTCAATTGAAGAATTAGTAAGATGGTAATCGGGTATCAAGATTCAAGTTATAAGATTTATCCAAGATCTCACTTACACATCTCCGTAGGGTTTGGAACGAGTTCGGTATTCAGTTGGTTGGTATCCTATAACCCAAACCCGGTTAATTATTTGACTAAATTCTTTCCCTAACCAACCCTAGGTTATTTTGGAAATTGTTATGCTCAAGTCGATATATCTATTCATTCTATAGTATCACAAAATTAACTGGGAGTAGGGGGCAGATTTGTGTCTCAATTTGGAACAATCTGACTCGAGATCGGGACAGATCCGAGCTATTTACTCAGTCGCAATGCTTGGCATGAATTGGAAGCCATGGCCAACCTCCATTCGAAGCCAATGAAAAGAACCTCCAACTTCAGCCAAGGCCAAAAGGGGCCAGGAGAGAGTTGGAAGGCTTTTATGAGAGACGGTGAGATTTTGTGCGTGTTAGAGAGAGAGAGAGAGAGAGAGAGAGAGAGAGAGAGAGAGAGAGAGGGGTCATTGAATGAGGGGAGACTGCATTACAGTTGAAGAAGGGTCCTGAATGCCAATCCATCTTTAATACCACAATAACTCCAACTTCTGCAATTGGGTCACTCCAAGCACTCCACCTTTTTAAGAGCCCCTTCCCCATCATCTCTCTTAGCTACTGAGGCAAAAGAGAAAATCTAGGATAAAAAAAAAAAACCTACACTACCCATGCTCCTATGAATCAATAATAAGAAATTTTGTCGAAAAGTGCTTCGAAACCCGTTAAAAGGGAAAATGGTACAAATAATCCTTAAATTTTGACCCAATATGTAATGTGATCCCTTAACTTTTAATTTGTTCAATATAATCCTTGAACTTTAACTTAATGTGTAATTTTGTTCATAAACTTTTAATTTGTTCAAATGTTGTCCCTGAACTTTTGGTACATATTCAGTTTAGTTCTTAAACTATATGAAAATATTCAATGTAGTCCTTTCATAAATTCAAGTTCAAAGATTACATTGAACATTTTCATATAATTTAGAGATCACATTAAACAAATTAAAAGTTCAGGGACCACATTAAATTTTGGGTTAAAGTTCAGAGATTACATTGAACAAATTATACGTTCAGGAATCACATTGCACATTGGATTAAAGTTCATAGACTGTTTGTGTTATTATCCATTGTTAAAATAGCCGAATAAGAAAATATGGCGGAGTTTAAATGTACAGTTTTCCCCCATGATGTGCACGATCGAATTCGAACATCGAACACTGTTTCCTCACCGAGTATGTTTAGCAAGCGTCCTGAGAGAGCACTTGTCAACGAACGCTCGTAATAATTGCTCGGTGAGACCAAGGACAAGGATATGTATAAGCTTTTAAAGCTCCTCACAGCACCACCCTCTCAGAGGCTATTGAATCCAACTTCCCATGATCCGAATAGTTAATGCGCCTTTCCACTTTCTTGCTCGGTCGATTGGGACGAAGCCACACCGAGTCAACTACATTTCATGCCTCAATTTACCAACTTCCCCTCCGGCTATTCATTGCCCCCACACTTGATCTCCCCGGAGCAGCAAATTGTATCGACTAATGGCCTATCTTCGCGTTCGTATCAAAACAGTACGAGCTTCGCTCTTTTGTTTCCCCGTCATGTGATGAAAGATTTTAGTTTTCAGATCACTGGTTATACAAAATGTGAGAAAAAGTCAGTGTAATGGAATTGGCAAAATTACCTTAATTGGTTGATCAATAAATGCACATGGGCATTCGTCATGAAATCTTTTTATTTTATTCTTTTTCTTAATTTCTCAATTATCTTTGATGGAAATCATCATCGTATATCAAATTTTATCAAGACTTTTAGAAGATAATGATCCGTCGAAAATACATAATTCTTCTATAGGTACTTGGCCATGATATCATTATGCAGATGGGTTCAATCGAGATTATTTTTTGTCTTTTAGATAAATAAAGTGCGTAAATGTTTGGCACGATTTTCGGCTTTGAACATTTGTTTTTAGCATTTTAAAAAATTTTGTGCATATTTTTTCTGAAGAAATTTTAAGGATAATTTCCATCTCGTCCTCCTCAGCTTGTTTCAACCCTGACCAAAATTTTCTGCATCCCCCACTTATGTGAATTTTCTAAAAATATATAATCAAAATCACCTTAAGTGATCTTTTTACAGTGACAAAGAAGTGACAAATTAAATTGGAAAAATGAGGTCCTTATAGCCCAACCAACCATGCAATAGTACTAATACATTCAATTTGTCCAGCTCTAGGCCAAAATTATGTTTTTACCCAATCTGTCTACATGTTGGGCAACCCATGAGAAACCCGCCATGTCATCAAAGAT